ACTGGCGACAGGAAATCTAAAATAACCACTTGTCAACCAGACCCGCTCACGACAACTGCCACCCAGGCTACTGCAGGTGGCAGTTCTTGTGAGGCTAGTGACAGAGTTCAGTTTGGAGAGGCAGAGAAAATTTTTTTTTAATTATTATTATATTATAATACGGGAGATTTACGGGAAAATACTAATACGGGAGGACGGCGGGAAAGAGGGGTAAAATACGGTAGTTTCCCGGCCAAAACGGGAGACTTGACAGCTATGCCGCAGCAATGGCGCAGCCGCAAGATGGCGGCATACACAAATCGCTCGCCGAATTCGTCTATAGGCAAACTGCAGGGGGTCAGGGACCACAGAGCTGATGTGCGTGCATACTAACTTTTCTAGGAACTTCATGGCTACTGGTGTGAGCCCCACTGGCCTATAATCATTCAGGTCAGATATGTCGGGTGCCTTTGGAACTGGTATGATAATTGAGGAGTTGAATATGCATGGGACTACTGCTTGTCTTAAAGCTATAGTGCGTAACTTCTACAGGTCCGTAAATGTCCGTTTCACCCAAGCCACTACTAGAGGAGATGACACAATGCTGATTAAGCCGATCGGCTCCTCTAACATCTTGTGGTATTTTTCAATATATATCATTTTTAGTTTGCGTGTTGACCGGCGACATTCCTGCGCTGGCGCACAGGAAATGCTTCCTCACAACAAGGGAGGGGGAGGAAGAGCGGAGAGTGTCATAGCAAGAGGTAGAGCGCAGGTAGAAAGAGAAAAACATGCCGGAGAAGCGGCTGAGACACGGTTCAGAAGCGGATCCTACCACAAAGAAAAAGCCTGGACGTTCGGCTGAAGGTCTATTGGCAAAGAAGGAAAGTGACCGACAGAGAAGGCAAACAAGGATTTGTATTGGCGTCACTTTTCCTCGCTGGAGAGCCCTGAAGGAAGAAATTGGGCAGAGGGCAGACACAGATGTTGCCTTGCTGCTGTAGGATAAGTAAGTGACTTGGTTTATAATTATATTATGAGTAGTATGTGTTGCTGTTACATGTACTGGACCTAGTACTTTATTATTTTCTTGGAAATGGTGCTATGAACGTAATGTAATGTTAGCAGCCTGGTGTTTGCCATGTTGTGTAGCATTGTGTACACGGTGTGAAGCGAGTGTTACTCTGTGTACATGGTGTGTGGCGACTGGAGAGTGTTACTCTGTGTACACAGTGTGTGGCGAGTGTTACTCTGTGTACACAGTGTGTGGCGAGTGTTACTCTGTGTACACAGTGTGTGGCGAGTGTTACTCTGTGTACATGGAAGTGCCGCCGGCTTATTAGTTGTAATAACACATTATCTGCTGGGAGGCGACAGAAGTTACGCACTATAGCTTTAAGGACAGATTGAAAATGTCTAAGTACACACCTGCTAGTTGTTCTGTACATTACTCGTGTTGACACAAATTTAGATCCTGCTGCCTTGTGGGGATTCACCTGCTTGAGGGCCTTCAGGACCTGTGTGTGTGTCACCTGGAAAGCAGAATCCTCAGGATCACATGGGGATTTAAAGGGGGTGTCTGTGTTGAGTCTGTCAAATCTGGTGTAAAACCTTTAATGACTAAATTAATTACCTGCCACATACTACACGTGTTGTTTTCCAGGTAGTAGCTTTCAAGTTTTTGAGAGTGTGCCTGTTTCTCAGCTCTGGACGATTTTTGTAGCTCATATTGGGCTCGCTTGTATTTCTCTCTATCATCTGACCTGAAAGCCTCACTCCTTTCCCTGATTTTCATGTGTATATCTGCATTAAAACCAGGGCTTCTGGTTTGGAAAGACACGAACAGTTCTGGAAGGGACACAAATGGAAGTACACTAGCTTATATAGTCACTGACAGTCTCTGTGTGATCATGTTTATTATTTGTAGCCTCTTTAAAGATGTTCATATCTGTGAGCTCTAGGCAGTACTGCCTACTAGTTTTTCTAGTGCACTGTCAGTCCTGGTGTGTATAGTTCTGACTATAACAGGGTTAGGCTTCAGATGCTGGGGGGGTGGGGGGGGGGGGTACACAGCACTCACGATAATGCATTGCAGTTCTCTTGGTAGGTAAAACCATCTACGATCTAGGTTCTAAGTAAATAACCTTACAGTCAGTGCACCAGGACTGCTTGACAAGGATGGCCGTTCCTCCCTTGCAGGTCTTGCCGTTCCTCTCTGTGTTGCGGTCTGACCTGAAAATCGCATAGCCTCCCAGTGTTATGGCTTGTTCGGTGTTTCCTCTCACAGCTATGTTTCATAAAAACACAGCATGGAGCAGTCCTGAACATACCCGAGTGTAGATATCCGTGCATGAAGTTTGTCCATTTTATTATCCAGAGACTAGACGTTAGCAAGCAGTATGACTGGGAGGGCTATCCTTCCTTTGCTAACCGAGCACCGGAGCCTTCACTCTGCTTCTCCCCACTTTCTGCACTTCTGCTTGGCCCTGTTGTAACCAGGAAAGCCTCCTGCAACACACTCGAGTCAAACAGTAGACTATAACTGCACTCTCTCAGCTGCAGCATGGTGGCTTAGTCATAGATAGTGTTTGCCCTTACTGTTGCCCTGTTGTGACACATAAAATCGAGGGAAACCAAGAGAAGAAGCAAAAGTTTGACAGGGGGTGTCAAACTCATTTCAGTTGAGGGGCTGCATACAGCCCAATTTGATGTCAAGAGGGCTGGACCAGTAAAACCACTGCATAATAACCATATAAATAACAACACCTCCACATTGTTTACTTTCTTTTAGTGTAAAGAATTATAAACACAATTAATGATCAATCCATTTACAAAACAGATGATAAGCAGCATGAAATGTCTTCAGAAATATAACTGCAATTCCACAATATGTCTCAGTTTTTCCACATTCCATCAGTCTATTGTTCACTATTAGTCTACATGTGCATTACAATTTTTAGATCACAGTGGATCTAAAAAGGCACAAAACAGTGCAAAAACATATCTGAAAGCATTCGCAATTAATGAACATGGCATTTACAAAACAGATGATGAACAGCCTGAGATTACTTAAGAAAAAAAGTGCAATTTTAACAATGTGTCTCAGTTTTTCTACATCCAGTCAGTCTACTACTCACAGTCTTTACTTGTGCATTTTTACATACATTTGTGTAGTTATGCTGGTTTCACCACACCAAACTAAACTTGAAGCTGTTGAAGAAGCAGATTGAGTTATCTCCTGCCTCACACATCAAACGCTTTGGCAGTATCTTAGCAACAGATTCTTTGAACTAAAGCTGCAAATTAACAACATTGACAGTGTTCAATATCTTTAAATATGACAACAATAAAGCGTATTTTGGTCAGGCTGGAAAAGCCTCTGAAGCAGCATTTTACATGAAGTAGGCTACTCACTGTTTAACTTGCACCAGAGATCTGGCATCTCTTAGCCTTCACAGGTGCATCAATGTTAAGGTGTCAAATCCTGAGCTGTTACCACTTAAAGAATGTGATGTAAGTGCTTGTGTGTGAGCCCGGAACGCAGTTTTGTTTTATTGATGCTCAAAACAGAAAAAAGTTGTTTACAAAAGGTAAGTTGCCCCAAACATGCACAAAACCTTTGTAGCCAGGGCTGTCAATTTTGGGTACCCTGGTAAAAGGTACTGATAAAAAGTGTCCAAGCCCATGAGGCAAATCTGTTCTTCAAAGCTAAATCACACTGCAAGTCAGTTACCTCAAATTGGATGTCCTCGGGCCGATCAGAAGCCTTGACTGTGAATGGCGAAAGAAAAATAGAGAATTCTGTCTGCATTTCACCAAAGACCTAGCCTGGAAATCCAGACTCGAATCTAGAAAGATTTTGAGTCTGGCCCTCACCGATACACCCATCCTACCCAAGGAGCGGCACTAAGTGAGGCATTTAAAATGCCGCAGCACGCAATTGGATAGCACGATGGCCAATCAAAGCAAAAAACAAGGTGACGTATTTATTGCACTAAGTCCCATTTGTTTGCCAACCAGTGGGGCTAACTGATATATTATGCTTCTGCAGTATCCCATCGCCAAACTGGCAAAAACGTCCTTCCTGGAAACGAAGGCTTCTAGGGCAGTCTTCTGTTCCTCTCACAAGGAAAAAAATAAGTGTAGTTGGCTTAGCATTTCTTCCAAAGCTAAATTGAATGGACGCGGTCCTTCAGCAGCTGCCATCTTGGCTGTTTACTTTTCGACTCCTACGCCGCAGTGCTTTCATCATCACGTTACGCCCGCCCAGAGCCCACCTCGGACAGATAGACTGATCTGATTGGTCCGATTGCAAATCACCAGGCTTTGCTCGTCGGGGCCAGATCCCTGTACAGTGCAACTTAGAATTTGCTATGGGTGGGGCATCTGGATTTCCAGGTTACCAAAGACCTGAAACTGCCGCTGAAACTCCTGTAACAGTCCTGCAATCTTGTCTTGTACCGATTCATGTCAGCATCAGTTCCAGTGGCACTCACGTTTCTTAGATGGGGGAAATTGACAGCCATTTATAGCATGGGTATGTATGTATGTATGTATGTATGTATAGGGCATCCACCCTTGTAATACGGGTTCATCCCTTAGCTACTAAATCAATACTGGAGGCGATTAATCCCGTAGTATTTTTGTACATTCTCTAATGCATAGGCTACACTACATTATCACATGCTTGAAATGAAAAATAATAAAATCAAAGAGTTTCATGAGACATAGAGGAAGGCAAGTTTTCAGTCCCTCTTAGTCATTGTTGCCATGGTTACGGAGACTCGGGGCAGTAATTAAAAAGTCTGCCCGTAATACGAAATACATTCATACATACCCTGTTTATTGCAGAAACCACAGCCGTTTCCAATTCGGGGTCTGAAACATCACTTCTCTGACGAAGGCTGTGCTCCATGCAGAATCTCCTGACGCTCATTATGGAACACTGCGTGGCCCCTTCATGCTGCAAAATGTCACTGATTTTTGTGTGTGTCTTGCCACTCCCAAAAAGTTCACAGATCAGGTCTGCATAAGGCTGGAGTGCAGCCATAACTAGGCTACAAGCAGTTGAGAATAGAGCGCTCCTCTGCAAAGTTCAAAAGTTCCTCCGCAGATCTCCCAGCATTCCCCGAATTTATCCAAATATCACAATAACAAAACAATGAAATGAAAAACTTCATTTTCACGTTGTTCTGTTTTAATTTTAAAACAAAAAACAACTACAAAACATGTTATTTCTGTTGTTCTGTTTTCCTGTTTTTCTGTTCTGGTTTTAAAATCAGAAAAACAAGATTGTTTTTCGAGCAAAAAAACCCCAAAACAAACCAAAACAAATGGCAATGGTAAATAGACCTGCACTTGTATAGCGCCTTTCTAGTCTTCTGACCACTCAAAGCGCTTTTTACACTACGAGTCACATTCACCCATTCACACACTAGTGGCCAAGGCTACCATACAAGGTGCCACCTGCTACTCAGTAACCATTCACACGCTCTCACACACCGATGGAACAGCCATCGGGAACAATTTGGGGTTCAGTATCTTGCCCAAGGATACTTCTACATGTGGACTGGAGGGGCTGGGGATCGAGCCGCCGATCTTTTGATTGGTGGACGACCCGCTCTGCCTCTGAGCCACAGACGCAAACAAAAAAAATCATCTGTCCACCACCATGGTGTGTCATGGCAGTTTTGGTAACCAGGTAACCAGAGTAGTTCCCATGTTACCAGAGGACTTCTCCAGTGTTTCCCCAGGTTAATCCTTCCACTGTTTGGGCCTCTTTGCTTCCTCATTGTGTTCAACTTAATGCCAAGAACAGCTGTCACCATGCTTAAACATTGAAATCATGATGATTAAATTAGGATTTAGTATTTATTAGTCATTTCTGATGAATGGTTTAGTGTATAAAATATGAAAAAATAACAACAAGAGCTGCGCTGCACAAAGGCATGCAGGCTAAGAGTAGGTCTGGTGAACTGTCCAGGATTTTTTTGTGTTTTGCCTAATGCATGCTGGGATAGACTGAACAGACAAGCACATTGAGTAAATTTGTTTGACCCTAGGTCTACCATATTTGTGAGGCTGGCTTATAATTAACTTTAAAAGTACATCAGTGATTCACCTAGATGGAAACATTTTGCCATTTGCTGTTTTGACAGAGTATTAGGGACATTTCTGTGAGATTTTAAGAATTAAGTTGAAATATGGTATAGTATTAAGTTCATTCATTGAGATAAATACATGTTGCCATTCCTTTCTCTATTATTGGAGAAAAACATTTTTTGTGCTGTGCACAACTTAAATGGTCTTTGTTGCTCACAGTTAAACTGGGTGTGAGTATCCCAGCCCTTAGCAAACGAAGCGCATTAGTTACATTATGGGTCAGTTTTTAGGGGTTAAATTTTGGGTTGAACATTTGCATCATGGTTTTGGTCAATGTCTAACTTTAATTTGGAAACTGGTTCTATCCAGTGTGTGTCACACTGTCTTAAGGTTTCATCCATATCTTCGGAAATGGATGGAATATATATTTTTATAAGGCATCAGGTTTTGCAGAAAGATACCAAAAGCCTTTTTTTTTCTCTTCATGCTTTCTTCACCATCTCCATCACCTGCACATTACTGTGACATGAAGAGTGGCTTTTAAATAGAGTGAGGGAGGCAACATAGAGACAAAGTCAGAAAGCATGTGGTGGTTCAGCGTCATTGGATCATTGGCCTCTTGATCAAGTTGAAAAGATGACGACTGAAAGAAATGTCAACAGTTTACCTGATCACATTTCACTCTACTTTTCTCTCCTTAACATTGTTAAAGTCAAAAACCTTTCAGGACTCCTTCATAGGAGCAGCCACAAAAATTAGCAGAATTAAAACTGAATGCAGCATTGCATGACATTTTGTTGCATTGTCATAGAGGTAGCACATGACTATGTACCCCTTCCCCATGCTGACATTGTATGTAACAGTTGAAATGAACAGTAAGTATTAATGTTTATTGTGCAATATCATGTATTTATTTTCACAGGGCTCCCTAAGGCTGCAGTGATCACCCACCTCCAGAGCTTGAAGGCAGCAGCAGGGTTTTGGGCGTTTGGAGCAACTGAAGATGATATAATGTACATCCCTCTGCCACTTTACCACAGCGCAGCTTCATTGATCGGTATAGGAGGAACCATAGAGCTGGGTAGGCCTCAGAATGTGTCTGCATGAGTGATTATTTTGTATTTTGTATCTGTATGTTGTTGGGCTGCCCCTTAAAAGTTGGAGAATCAAATTGTCAGTCAGAGGCCCCTCAGTTGACTGAGATTGCTTCAGAGCGAGCTGTCGACATCAGTTTTTTTTTGTGCTCTGCACTGTACTTCTGGGGATGTTTTGGTCCCCAGATTTCACTGCAGAGTGAACTCTTGACATTTAAAATACTCTTTGGAACAGACAGCTGTGGACATTATAGAGCTGCCTAGAGGAGGAGAGACTCTGCACCGTAAGGCTCTGAGCTAATAGTTATCTTCTCCCTTCTGCTTAGAGATGGTGAATTCACAGTTCACAGCAACTCAATACGACACAGTCTCTGACTTTAGTTTGATATGTAGAGTAAGCAATAAATGTTGCACATTGCCGATCCGTTGTTAGCGCTGTTAGTTTGTTGACTGTATTAGGTGAATGTTATACTAGACGTTTTGCTGAGCCCGTTCAAACTTTAAAACTTTATATGAAACAAAAAAGTCTGATTCGACTGACATAATTCTGAGTTGGGTACAGCCCTAATATGTCGCATTTCTTTTATCTTGTCAGATTAAATCTAAACATCTGGCAAACAACTATGTAGATCAGGTGTTTTTTTTCATAGTTAGACACTGTGGGCCCTTTCTCAGACAAAATCCAGACAACTTGAGCCCTGTCTTTTTTCACTTATATTTGTTGTATTTATATATGGGCAAATTGTCGCCATTAAAAGTCTGCAGACTTACCTATCAGCAGTTCCTGTTTGCAGTGTAGTCATGATGTACAGGCAACTTTGATACTGAAAAAAACCTGATGATTCTAAGCTCTGGAGTTTAGGGAGCAGTTTCTCTATGATCCTAAATTGATTTATTGATTTATTTGGAGTATAAGTTGCATTGATTGAAAAAAAGTGTTTCATGTCTGTGTGTTCAGATTTGACTGAGATTCTGAGTAAGACTTTTGATTCAAATTCTACTCATGCAGTCTTTGCTTCAAGTGTTTCCTTTTGCACCTCCTCTTTAACTCTCCTACGTGCCCCCAAGGGAGGAACACCTCACAATTTGAAAACCTTGCAATGCATCATCACAATGTATGCCACCTTCATTTTGAGAATTTACATTCTCAATTTTTATGTAACTTTTCAGTCAATAGCAGAGTACATGATGTGTTGGTTGTCACAACAGTCAATCCAGTAAATGTTCTAGAAGGTGCAAACCAGTCCAGTTATCTTTCCATCAGGCCTGCGAATATTTATGATAAATTTGTGCTAATTTATGCTCTATATTAACAATGAGAACACATTACTTTGAGATGCTCATCAGGATTGAGAAATCAATTCACCACTCTGCTGGTTTTGCAAACCTGGCCAGTCAAAGTTTTCAAATGTAAACAATAAAGTAAACATCAAGGAAAAAGGTGGAAAAGATAAGCATCAGCTAGGATCTCTGTTATGTTATCTGTCCTTGCATCTGTATCCACATGTCTGCATTGGAAGAGGCGCCATGGCAAGCGTGGAGGAATTAAACATGTTAACCGATTAGGCTGTTCACACTGGATGTGGCCGGCTCACGATCTACAGCGATAGATTCGGCGTCTGGTCTATTTTTCTGAGCGAATCTGGCAAGATAACACACTGAAATGTATTGTGAACAATATAAAATGTATATTAGATATGATATAAATGACCTGTCTGTGACAAGTGATAGAGTATGCACCCCATGCTTCCACATATTTGTCAGTTGTGTCGAAACAGAGTGCGAGAGAGATGAGCAGAGCCACACACACACACACACACACACACACAAACACACACAGGCAGAAGGAGCTCTACATGTGATTTAAACAGAGCAGAGTGCAGAAGCTGACTGCCGCAGAGAAATGTACTTCTGGAGTGAACAGCCAGGCAACAGCTGGACTGCTGCGCGACAGTTAACAAATCCGGATGCTTCTGCAGTGTGAACCCGCTGTGAGTCTTTAATTAACAAGACAATTAATTTGTAGAAAATGAGCTGAATTTAGATGGATATGATGGGGTAACTTAAACACAGCCCTGATGAACTTGTTTTGGGCAGTCTGGAGTTTATAGTCAAAATGACATTGAACTAATCCTCAGCTAACATCATTAAAGCTGATCTATCCAACAACTTTCTTGCCAAGACTTTGGTCTTTTGGCAGATTTTAGTGAGGCCTTTCATTGCCACGGCCCCTCTGGGCTATCAGATAGAGGTGGGTCTCTCCTACCTTTACTGTCATCTCTGGGGTCTTTCCTAATTTTATTCTGGATCCAAAAAAAGATGGTCTGGTGTATGGATCCTGGAATAAACAGACATCCAAGTCCCAATAGTTTGAAGCTCTTCACTCAAATACTTCCACAACTGCTGAATGTTTATGAGACACCGCAATAGCTGAATAGTCCACATACAGAAAACAAGACAGATGACTGTCATCATATCATTCACGTATTATAAGAAAAAAGTGGCCCTGTTACACTCTGCTGAGGGAACTTACAGTTTTAGCTTTGGAAAATGTCCCATCCACTAACTGTGTCCTTCCTGAGAGGTAAGAATTGACCCATTGAATGGCCATATTCCTAAACCTCATGGCCTTTAGCTCAAACAGCAGGATAGTATCATCTACAGTATCAATGGCCTATTGAAAGTCTAACATTACCATTCCACAAAATTTGCCTGTCAGCCTCCCTCTTGATGTGGTTTAACAGGCAGGTTTCAGTGGAATGGGGTTTTGTAATGAATGATCTTTACTGTCACAGTATGCACAGCTCCAATAAAATTAGTCTGGCAACTCTCTGGTGAATCAAAACTAAACAAAAACAAGACAACCAGAAAACTTTTGGGTGATTAGATAAGATAAGATAAGATACACCTTTATTGATCCCACAATTGAGAAGTTCCAGTGTTACAGCAGTCAAGGGTAAAGAGTCAGATTAAAGATTTCAAAATTCAAAGACTTAAAAGACTAGGCATGCACAAAAAGTACAAAAAAATACAAGAAACAGCAATAATTAATAATGATAATGATAATAATGAGCAGTGGATAAAAAGTGAGCAGTGGATTAAAGTGAGCTTATTTAGTGCAAAGTGAATATTGTATGTGCAAATAAACAACAACAAGGGGGACAGTTCTGCTTATTATGGTGTCCATAGAGTGTCCATAGTGTCCCTAAAGTGTCCATAGTGTCCCTAAAGTGTCCATGGTGCAGTTTACTGTGAGCAGTGCTGGTTGTGAAGCCTGACAGCAGCAGGCAGGAAGGGCCTGTGATAGCGTTCCTTCACACACACATTGGGTGAATCAGTCTATCGCTGAAGGAGCTCTCCAGAGCTTTTATCTCCTCCTGCAGAGGATGGGAGTCATTAGTCCTCAGAGATGATAGCTTGGCTGTCATCCTCCTTTCTCCCATCACCTGCACAGAGTCCAGAGAGCATCCCAGGACAGAGCTGGCCTTCTTGATCAACTTGTCCAGTCTCTTCCTATCTGCAGCCGAGACGCTGCTGCCCCAGCAGACCACTCCGTAAAAGATGGCTGATGCAACCACAGTGTCAAAGAAGGTCTTCAGGAGCGCCCCCTGCACTCCAAAAGACCAAAAGAGCCGCCTCAGGAGTTAAGTCTGCTTTGGCCTTTCCTGTATAGTGCTGTTATGTGATAAGTACAGTCCAGTTTATTGTTAAGATGAACACCCAGGTACTTATAAGATGTCACCATCTCAATGTCCTTTCCCAGGATGTTCAACAGTGTTTGTCCCTTAGAAGCGCAGGCTGTATGGTGTTGAAAGTGCTGGAGAAGTCAAAGAACATGATTCTCACAGAGCTTCCAGGCTTCTCCAGGTGAGAAAGAGCTCTGTGCAGGAGGAAGATGACGGCGTCGTCCACCCAAATGCCAGGGTGGTAGGCAAACTGCAGTGGGTCCATTGAACGGCCTACTGCTGGGCGGAGACGAGACAGGACCAGGCACTCCAGAGTCTTCATGAGGTGCGATGTTAATGCCACCGGTCTGAAGCTGCTGAAGTCCTTGGGGTGCAGAGTCTTGGGCACTGGTACCATGCAGGATGTCTTCCACAGCTGTGGTACTCTCCCCAGCCTCACGCTCAGGTTGAAGATGGTTTCAACTATCCCACACAGTTGGTCTGCACAGGATTTCAGGAGCCTGGAGCTGATGCCGTCTGGACCCGCAGCCTTCCTCGTCTTTATTCCCCTCAGCTGATCTCTCGCCTGACAGGTAGTGAAGGACAAGTTGGAGCAGGGGGGCTGTAGTAAACGTAGGTCACACAGCACAGCAGTCACACAGTGAGATGGTCTTCATAAATTTCTGACTCCTTCAGAATTTTATACCAGGCTGCCTTTGACCGCAAAACCGTGACAATGGACATCCTTGAACCTCTCTCGCTGTGCAACCCTAGAACCACCATTTTAGAGCCAAGACCAAAGATGTTGCCACGTTTCTTTCACGTTGGTCATCTTTCATCTGGGGCAGCCCAAAATTGCATAGTGTATACTGGGATTAAAGCCTAAAGAGGGCTTGCTTATTGGAAAAGTAATATCCAGCCACACAGCCTCAATGAGCTCATTGTTTAGGTCTGTTCGAATTTTACATTTAACATCTGACCTGATATAAACACAGACACCTCCACCTTTGTGGTTTCTATCTTTCCTTATAAATGCTCAATTTCTATTTCAGAGTCAGTCATGGAATCATCAAACCAAACTACAGTATTGCATTTGATTGCCACCTAAAGTGCAACACACACCGGCGCCATACGACGCGCGTCAAAAAGCCCGCCTACATTATATTCTATGAACCAACCCACACTGGCGCTGGCCGACACGCTGCGCCGCTCTGCTTCAGCCCACTGCTCTATTTCCAGCGCGGCCGGTGCTGCGAGAAAAGCCTTTTATGTACGTCTCGGCCGCCATAGTATCAACTCCGGTTGTTTCAAATTTTTAATAA